TGCAAGACACTGAACCCTAAGTTGTTCTTGATGCGCTCATTGGAGTGTGAATGTCAGATAGAACGCACTTAATGTAGAAAAAAGTGCTTGTGTGAATGAGGCATGTCGTATGAGGCGCTTGAGCGAAGTAGAAAAGCGCTTTATAAGCACCAGTCAGTTTACTCCATATCTATGAGTTCTTTTGCAGCTTGGAAAGAAACTAATACAGCATTGCTGCTTTCAGCATTTGCTCTCTGCACTGCAAAAGTTCCCTTTTGACATTGCAATTATACTGAATCGCTGGTGTTAGGATCTGCAGCACGCTCTGGTTCGATTGTGCATAAAACTCCAATACACAGTGCAAACATGTACACCTCCATCTGCTAGTTCTGCATGGGAACCTTCAATCATACGAGCATGGGCCCCAGGGGAACTTTTCTTCAAGGCGGGAAGCTAATGGAGGACAGAGATGTGAGTAATCAGAGCAAAATGGGCAGGGACGAACGACCACAAGTGGCTGGTGCTCGTCGGGGGAATCTGGACGCAGAGGTTAGGCAGGGATAGGAAAACCACACTGGAAAACTGACTTGGGAATGGCATCTGGTTCCCATATCCACAGTGTATCACAATTAGCCGGCATAAGATGACTTTAATGTGTTATGTGTGTGTGTGTGTATGCTTGTTGTTATGTGTTTGGATGTTCTTGTGGGAGCAGGGACTCTGTGAACCGAGGAAGCCGATAGTGCGACTGGTTATATATTTACGTATGTGTGTGCGCGTCGTTTAAGTGGTATCAAATTATACAGGGAGGAGATCCTCCCTCCCGCAGGATCCCATCATTCCCGAGGCGAGAGGCATTTAAACAGCTTTAACACAAATTGTCAGCATGAAAAGCCAAATGTGCAGGCCAAATTTTTCCATGTGCAATACGTAAGCAAATTTCTGACCCACAAAATTCTTGTTGCGGACATGAAATGTTGAGGAACGGACAAGGCTCCACTTGGAAAAGTGTTTCTTTCGCTTCTTCTGCTGATTCGATCAGAACCGCACACTGGCTGCTTTTACATTTCTCATCATTTGATGTTGTGAGCAGGAGGAAAATTCCTTTCAATCACAAAGCTGTCAAGCTTTTTTTTCTCCCTCTCTCTAAAACTGTGAGCTTAACATTCATTCGGCGCTCCTTCAGCGCTACCGTTGCGACATCCAGTCATCCCTGTGAGCGTTCGGCTTGCTCGGCGAGCCAAAGTACGCGACTCGGTTGGCCCGAGAGCTGCGCGTCGTCATTTACTGACAAACAAGCGCCGCTCATGGGCACAGCGTGAGCAGAGGACTAACGTCGAAAAGGTCAAACTCTCAATGTTGTCACATCCAGTGCCAGTAGGCTTGTTCAAGCACCACTGCCCTTATGAGTCCAAGTAAACGCTGTCATGTCAGATAGATCCACTTTCAGCTCTCGGCGGGACTCTCTTCCCTGCCAAAGCCTGTGTGTTGTCTGCGCTCCGGCCTCTCCTGTGATGTTACGGCTGTTAGTGGACGCTTAGTTTTAAGCATACAGAACCCCACAACGCAGCAAAAAGTGTAAATGAGCACGACTTGTGAGAATGCAAGGCTTCCTCCACAAACGTCTCCTCCTCTGCATGGCAGAAGTCATCAAACTACAGCTGGAAGATGTTTTATTAACAGGTGTGGAGAGCCAGCGCATATCAGATGAAGGATGAAGAGTTGAGGGCGCCCGGACTCCTCTGCTTCACCCCAACATCGCCTCTAATCCCTGCTCCGCGACTGCATAATTCATAGATTGTGACAGATCAGCTCCAACCTGCAGCGCTGGAATCTGCGCGCAGATGAAGCGGGGAGGAGGAAACCGCTTGTCAAATACAGACACAACCAGATTTATTTACCTCATGGCTGCACTGTAGCCCTGCTTGGCCGCGGATTCCAGTGTGGTACACAGACACGCTTAAATGAGCTGAAGTTGGTTTGATGTTCCCAGTTTTTGTATCGCTTTCAAATATTTCCCCTCGTCTTTCTGACCAGATTTCAAAGCGTGCTACTTTCTCTCT